CCGACGCCACCAGGCTCACTTGTTGCTGAACTTGAGCGGGAGCCTCCTCTGGGTCCTCTCCTGGAAATGGCGTGAGAGCAGGCCCACAAACTCGGTCTTGAAAGTGCACTCCAACAGGCTGTCATACTGCTGCTCATGCAGGATCAGGAAATCGTCCTGCATGGTGCTGAAGGCGGAGGGAAGGCAGACAGTGAGCGGCCATCACTGTCACCGTCACGTAGGACAGATGGCTCCGATGGCACGCTCTCCTGCGTGCTCAGCACTAACGGCCAATTCACAGGTGACCCTGGACAGCAAGGCTGAGATCTCTAGCTCAGTGTATAGTTTCCTCCCTATGTAACAAGTCTTCATGAGTCTCTTTAGTGAGTCTTTTATGCGGCTCTTTGTTACAGCTTAACCCTGAGCCTGTACACAGCTTGTCACATGACAGCCTCTCCATGAAGGGCAGATGAGCCAAGTAACGGTCCAACCCATGACTCTTTCAGCAGAAACCTGGAAACACTGTGAGACACGGAGGGAAGGTCCATGGATCAGGCAGCAGCTGATAATGCTGTCTGCAGGGGGGTGGGGGAGGGGGTTCCTTTCTATCATTAACCTTTCAATCATTATCATTTCTATCACTTTTTTATATATTTGCCTTTTGAGCATCTGAGCACTTTGCAGACGGCAGTGAGGCCAGATGTGAGACTCTGAGAGGAGGCGAGTGCTGAGGAGCCTCTGAAGCCATCTCAGATTTCCTCTGCCGGCCCCGGCTCAGTAGGGGTATGTGTCTCCTAACTCCCACTGTGATGCTCGGGGGGATGGGGGGGGGGCAGAGCATAAGCTTAAAGCGCGACGGGAGCCCACTGTCAGAGCAAAGGTGGCAGAGCTAACATCGTTTCACTGTCCATTTCCTGCCTTATAACCACTGCCAGTAACTGGAGAGTTCAAAAAGAATTTGTTACTGTAAGACTTACTCACAGGACAGTGAACCATGTCACCACTGTACACTGCCATGTCACCACTGTACACTGCCATGTCACCACTGTACACTGCCATGTCACCATTGTACACTGCCATGTCACCACTTTACACTGCCATGTCACCACTGTACACTGCCATGTCACCACTGTACACTGCCATGTCACCACTGTACACTGCCATGTGACCATTGTACACTGCCAAGTGACCACTGTACACTACCATGTGACCAGGTGTATTAGGATGAATTCGCGGACGATTACGTCACCCACGTGACATGGAATTAACTTTACTATAATATTCTGGAAAGTTGTAATTGTTGATTAATTCCGATCGCCTGTGGACTGATCGTCCTGAAATTCAGATCAATCGTCCATGATTCACCCCAAATGTCACTACACTGCACGAACAAGTTATTTACCGATCCCCTGTAAAACCTAATTTTGCCGTAAATAACTTGGGCTCATAAAAGAAGCCAGGATGCTTATCTTGGTTTCGGGAGATAGGGTGGGGGGTCGGTATACAGCACCCTATATTGCCTTTAGGGGGGAACAGGGAGGTGTTGCGCAAAGACACCTGGCGCCAGGACGCCCATTGAAGTATGTTATCGCAAGCAGAATCACTCGGACAAAAGGGGGAATTGGAACACCATATATTGCCTGGGGGGAAGGGGTGAGCCTGGCCAGCTTACCCCCTGCCCACACGCAACTCTAAATTTAGTATAAAGGAAGGGGGAGAACCCAGTACTGACCGGAGTTCAGCCGTGGGATAGAGCGCGCATCGCCCGGCACTTTCTCGGAACTCACGTGTTGGTCTCCTGCCAGGACTGAAAGGGCTCCCCAGTCCATGTGTGAAGGTGGGTGATGATAGCACGTCCGAGTGTAAATAGCTTTGCAACTGCTTATGCTTTCCCTTAATTGTTGCGAGTAAATTATCGCCGCTTGTGATAATATTTCGTAACTTTTTATGTTTCCTTGCTTCTTGTATGTGTAATTGCTTCTTTTCTATATATATATTCATACCTTTGCACCTAATACTATTAGCTATAAGATATATATTATTTGATATCCGTTGTAGTACGAGTTATTTTGCATTGCCTTCAATATGATAGCTCAGTATTGGTGTTAATGTGAGATCATTTTGTATTACTTATTAAAGTGTATTTGAGTGAACCTAAGCGTGCCTGTTTGTTCCTTCGAGAGCCCTATATCCCTCTCTCATCCATTTTAAGACACCAGGGTATGGGATGAATATAGACTCCGTTTGGGGACAGGAGCTGGGAATGGATGTAATTAAACTGGGGGAAGGAACGGAAACAAAAGACAGGCATTCTGACGTAAGCATAGTGGTCACAGAAGACATACATAAACAGAAAGAGCTGAAAGGGGTGTGAGGTTACAGAACAACTGAGGGAGGGAGGGATGAGCGGTGGGCTTGGGGTCTGTTTAAAAGGGCAGAGAAAAAAGAACATTTATCTAAAGATTGGAAAAGCTCCAGACATGACGATAAACACAATGGTGTGGGATGGGACAGGGGGCAGGATTATCAAAATCAGTGCGGGGAGTGAACCACAAAAGTGAACCGAACCCATAACCAATCAGCAAGAGGGCAAGTGGGCAGGCATCAGGGTTTGGGTCAGAACTCAGGCTTGTTTAAGGCGGACGTGTCATTTCATAAAGCCGATGATCTCAATCCGGTAATAATGAGAAAGGTCTGTTCCCATAATAATAAACATAGCGAAACGTAGCCTGAATATGTGGAGGGATTGGAACGTGTGATATTTTTGTATTTCAAATGCGATATAAAGCTGGTCTCATGACTGCCAGTGACAACGCCTGGTGACTGTCAGTGTTTCTCCTGTCAAACCGGGCCCCTTCTATGAGGGCTCACCTGAGAGACAGAGCCAGGATCTTCTCCAAGTCAATCTTCCGCTTTAACACCATCACCGTGCATCCCTTCTCGGGACCCTGCTTTACCATCTCCCGACCAATCAGGTACACATATTTCGGGGTTAAGATTAAGTCCCTCTTTATTCCCTGTAAGAACAGACAGACAGAGAAAGGAAGCTTGTCAGAGACGACATCTCAGTGCTGACCCTAGAAGGCTTTCAGACTGACATTGTTTTACTTTAATCCCATTATAACGTTGGTTTACTTTGACTATCCGTTCAAGAAAATCAAGCAGGAAACACAAAACCTTGAAGCGACGGTCGTATTTGGTGACTTTGTCTGCAAAGTCAATCCTCTCCCCCTTGCCCAGGAGCAGCTGGAGATCAGGCTGGTGGTCTGTGCCGAGATAATCGCCCAGGAAACTCCGGTTGATGCTGTGCTTGCGTCTCTCCTTACGGTTCAGGAACAGCTCAGAGGCTGGCAATACAAAACGGAATGAGGGAACCTGGCTGAGATAATGGAGGAAGTGTTCCTGGCTGAGGAGAAAAGGGCGAATCCTCAGAGCTGAGGTAGCCAGTCAAAATCACTCATGGAATCACAGCTGTCACAAACACTCCGAGACACGGGCATAAATTATGGGTGAGATGGGGGTTGTAACCCCCCCCAATAATCAAAATCAGCCAATACAACCCCATGGACCCCCTTAAATGGGTGGAGACCTCAACCCTCAAACCCAGTCTTGGTTTTTATCCAGGACACCAGCAATCCCAGACACTCAGACCCCTTACTCAGTCTCTCGAGAGCCCCAATCAGAGCCTCCATTGACTCCGCTAAGATCGCAGCATCATTGGCAAAGTCAAGATCACTAAATCTTTCTTCAACAGATGCCCCACAACTGCCAGACCCCATGACCCTGCAGAGTAGGAGGAAGATGAGAACCCAGAATGTCAGGATGTGGTCGATGTTAGACTTCTTAGGCATAAAACCAGATGAGGAGGACGTGGGTCACTAGACCACAGATGGTGTGTTACCTGCTCACAGATTTGTCTAATAAACGCCTCCTTATCTGCCCTCAGAGCCCTCACAGCCGTCCTCCTCAGTTCCCAGTACAGACTGGAGTTACCACCAAGTCATGCGCTGCGACTCCTCTCGATAATATCCAGGGTGCCCTGTGAGATGAAACACCTCCTTCTGGGAATACCAGCAACACCAACACAACCTTCAGGGTCTTATCACAGAAGGTCTCCCACATCACACCCAAGTCTGCAAGTTTCTCACACAAACTGTGTGCAAACTCATCAGAAACAGCTTAATGTTGGAGCCTGACCAAATCCAGCCATATTCTCCTAGTAGGTGGTAGCCTACTGGATCTAAGCTGAATCTCCAGAGTAGCAACAACAAGTCTGGTTTCAGAATCCACAAACTGAGCATTTCTGTAGACCCTGCAGTTCTGCAGGAGCCTCCAGTGTCTGCCCATGAGGATGTGATCGATCTCCTTCACCACACTACCAGTACTGAAGTGCTACAGAGATCTAGCCACTCCCCGGTCTGGGTAGCTCAGAGAGTACCACGAAATGCATTTACGAAGTTTACGAAGCTCCCCCAACAGCAGAGGAAGTTGGTCGTCTTGCCGGAGAGACGACATTCCACGCGCCTACCTGGATGGGCCACCTCAAACTGGGACCTCAGTGCCGCCATGCAGTAGATGATGCCTCAGCACCACACCAGCCCCGATCCACAACAAGCCCGACTCTACTGGCTCTCTGAAAGATTCGACCGTTCCGGGAATGAGATTCCCAAAGGCTTTCCCCCATCTCCTTCCTGTGGGCAGCTGCAGCAGAGCTACTCCCGCAGAGAGCAGAAGGGCATTGTGTGTGTTGAATGGTGGCTGAAGTGCCAATCGCGCCACCAACCCACAAAATTTTTCCCTTCAAGTTGGTGGACCGCTTGCAGGGCAAGATGCAGTTTAATCATTGGCATGTGCATGAAAGGATTTTAGGAAATGTATTACAATTTAGTGTTTTTCAGAAGTAACATTGAAGTATTTGGCTGAGCCCGAGTCCCAGTGTTGCCAGAAATGAGAATTGTTACTGTACACAGTATTCTGATGCAAACAGTTTAGCGAGACACTGAACAGGCATGCAGCCAGCAGTCATTTGGGGGGGGGGGGGCAGCAAACCTTCTTCTCTCATCTGGCCACAGGTCTTGTGGGCCCTGTGCTTTCTCCAGGCTTTCTGGATGGCCCTGGCGTAGCCGTCAAACTTCCTGTCCCGTGTCTCCTCCAGCAGGAAGATCTGCAGGACAGACAAGGTCCGGACTCAGCATGGAAACAGTTTGCCTGGCCCCCTGAAGTCCCCCGAGGCTGCTCCCCGACACGACCCTAAGGGATTCTGGGTAGAGCAGAGAGCGCCCTCTTGTGTACCACACATCATGTGTTGTATTTTGTGTGGCAGACAGTTTGCTGCGAGAAACAGTTAATGAAGCATATTAAATGTCATAGCATAGCTTGTCTATACCGAAACTGGATTTTTAAAAATGTCGAGCCAGCAAGGGAAAATCAAAATAGAACTATTGTACCCCAAAAGGTCATTTGTTATTAAATGTCAGGAGTTAATGAAACAGCTGTTGAGTGAGGTTTTGGCTGAAATATACCCACAATGCCTCAGCTTGCAGCTGGTTCGCTATCTCAGGCCGAACCTCTCCTTACGCTAAGATGCATTTCTGGGCTCTGAAGGCCCGGATTCCCCGACAGAAAACCATGTCTTGCGCCTGACCTGCTCTCTGAACCTAAAGAATCTGTTTGCTTGCCAGAGAAACGTCGTCCCTGAAGGAGACCCAAGGTAGAGGCCATGCTGCATTTTAAAGAAGTTTGAAAAAAAAGGGTCAGATACAACATTTCAGTGGCATCAGAGATCAGTGAACAGGCCTGGTCATTTGACCTGTGACCAGTGACACCACTGTCACTTTGAGGGCTGGTGTCAGTCTGAGGGACCTCACCGATTCGGGGGCCTTGATGAAGACCTTTGTGCATCCCAGCTGGAACTGATCCTGGTCCATGTTTGTGGAGGTCAGCAGGTGCAGCACGCCCTGCCTCTCATCGCCTTTCCAAGACGGCCAGGTCTCCTTGGTCAGGATGGCATACCTGAGCAGGGCAGCAGGGGGATCATACGTTAACGCTGCCAACACTCACTGAGGAAATGCATACAGGTTGATAAGATGAAAGAGTGTGAAAAGGGCATAACGTCTGGCACAGACCTGCGCAGGAACTTCTGGAAGGGTCTCCTGTAGGCATAACCTGCCCTCCGCACACGGATGTTCTCTTTCAGTCCCAGGTACTCTACCTGGTGCTTCACCCTAGGAGAAGGGGGATCAGCAGCTGACGGGGGATGGGGGGAAGGATATGTCCCAAAATATAACATTTACTCTTATTCATTTGGCTTGTGTTTTGGCTTAACGACCCAAACCTCACATCAAACCGCAAAGAGTATTGGCAGAGAATGGCGCCCGTAGGTCTCTTCAGCAGACCTGTTGCTGTGTCGGGTGAACTTTAAAGGCGAAGAGTTACGAGTGACAGGAGCGAGTCACTTTCAGTTGACATACCTGGCTGCCTCCCAGTCTCTGGGCTTCTTGGTCTCGTTGGGCTTTATGCAGCGAATGTAGTGTGGTGTACATCTCATCAGCGTGCTCACCAAGTCATTGGCTTGTTTCTGAAAAGAAAAGGGGGAGGAGAGGAGGACCAAGGAGCAGACACATGGAATTATTATCTACTGTCTCCTGGCTAATAGTGAAATCAGAACCTTCTCTCAACAGGCCTCAAAATCCTCATTTAAACTGGAGCACCGTGTAAAAGGCTCAGGCCTTTTTCATCTTCATGTTGGTGTAAAGCTATGATTTTATATCTGTCAAACCACTACTCCAACAGCTTTGGCTAATAAACACCTCATTTAGTTAATTAGAGTTATTTTTGTAATGAAGTTAATTAATTAATTGAGCTGGTGGGAAAATTTACTAACTGCATGGAATGGCTGAGGTGCCCCTGAGGAGAGTTTTGGGAACTGAAGTGTTCATCTAGCCAAGAAGATATTAGTAACTTTTTGGAAAGCAGAAGGAATTCTTGTTAGTTTTTATGGTGATACCGTTAATTTGCATACGCTCAAATGTTAAATTGCATTTTTTTATGAGCAAATATACATGCACTTACTATGCAGATAAATAACTTTAGGTATTTTCTTTGACTTCTGCACAGTACTGAGGTCTATGGTCATAGCAGCTGCTCTAGGATGCTTAGGCCCATTTGGATAATTACCGGTTTTAAAAATGCTTTGAAATGGAATATAAAAAACGAGAAGTGCATTTAGAACTAGTTGTGATCAGTTTGTTTGCCAGTGTTACGCAGTGTCGCAGGCTGAAGCTCTACAGGGATGATATTGCATCCGTCGGACTGCGGCTCCTCCACACCTTGATTTTACTACCTGCAGTAGTCGGTCGGCCTTTCTTCTCCACGCTCAGATTATCTGGAAACAAGGCCTGGATGAAAGAACTATTGAAGAGAGGCAAACGACAGGAGGAGGTTATTACGGCAGCATCAGAACAGCAGCCCGGCAGAGTGACGCATCTGAGCCTCATGCCAATCTGTCCTGCTGTGTTTCATTTAAGTGGATTTTGCTCTACAAGGCCAGTATGGAAAACTCAGCATCATGACTCACGCTGTCCAGCATCGGGATCTAAACTACAGTTAGCATAATGGTGGTTTTCATCTGCTGTTTTGCCTGGGGTTTGCATACTTCACAATGTACCCTTGAGAAACAATGTTGAACAATGTCGTTCAGCTTTATTGGACTGAAACTAGAAAATCAAAATTACCTAGTTTTTAGGCAGTGAAGTCAACAGCTGTCTAATTACATCATGCTGCTCCAAGCTCTTGGCCACATGACCAGTAATTACATTTTTTCCTTTTTTTTGCTTATACTCTCAGTATTATTGGGAAATGTATTATTTGTTGTTTTGGAACAGCATTCCCAAAAGCACAAAACCACAGAAAACTTGGAAATGGACAAAAATAAGGAAATAAACCGACATTTCTATGGCTAATATCTCCAAAAGTATGCGGCTCCCAGCAGAACATCATAGCCCCTCTAAAACACAAGTTTTCCAGTTTTGGGGTGCTGCCCCTTTAAGGCAAGGCTCAATCAAACTGGAGGAAGCATGGGGTTGTTTGTCCAGATGGAGGACAGATCACAACCGAAGGCTGGGAATGAACAAGACAAGCAGGGTGGAGCACGCAGAGGGAGCTTTGGGCGTGTGAGATTCCCCTCCATGTAGGGGAAGAACAGAAAAGACGTGGAGTCCTTCCGGCTGTGTGCCACATGTAGGTGACAGTGTGGCACCCACATGTCACTGCTCTGCATCAGCTCGATGAGGTCGGCAAAGAGGACGTCCCGATTCCTCTCGCAGAAACCCTCCGCCTCGTAGACCACCTCGAAGGAAAAGAAAAACATAGCACGACCCAAGGAAGCTGATTGGGCAGTCCTACGACAGGAAGGCCTTTCAGAGCCCTGGTTGGTCCTGAGCGGCAGATGGCCCGCCTACCTTGCCAGCGTAGTGGTGGACGATGAATCCCTGCCTCCAGGTGTTGAAGTGCTCGTGGGTGCCGATCTGCGCACGCAGCTTCTGCAGTAGGGTGCTGTCCGCCCCCTCGCCCACCGCGTGCATGGTGGCGCAAACGTCATCCAGAATGCTCATGATACCTGGGGGATTCTGGGGGAAAAAACATGAAATGCGTCAACGAATCATCTACATTTCCAAGCCTCTCCTGGAGAAAGTGGATAGGTGTACATTAAAAGAACTAGGTACTAATACCCTAGTAGTGCAAATGGATAAATGGGTGAGGTCATTGTTTTTCTGACCCGATACAGCCTCTCCCTGGTTATGAAGGGGTTACGTCCTGATAAACCTATCGTAAGGCGAAAACATCATAAGGAAATGCATTTTAGTACAGTACACCTAACCAAACAAACATCATAGCATAGCCTAGCCTACCTTAAATATGCTTAGAACACTTAAATCATTAACACAAAGCCTATTTTATAATGAAGTGTTGAATAACTGATTGAATAATGTACCCATCATATCCCGGTGTGTCTGTATTTAGGGTTAACAGCAGCTCGCTCGTATTAGAAGGGCTTCAGCTCCCCCAGAATAAAAATACACCACAGAAAACATACTTTTGTTTTGTTGTGACTCTGACTTCTTCAGGCCTTGAGTCTCTTCTAGCAGTAGCTGTATTTTTTAAGTGATACAGAAAATCTGACTGAATCTACAGTTTCACTTTTCACATAATCTAGCTGCTTTATGACTGTACAAGATATTTATAACCGCATGACTGTATTGGTGGCTAGATTATTACATTTCTAATATGCTAGCTGTCCACTGAATAGTGTTCTGTGAAATCCAAAACAGATGCTTGTAGCTGCCTTAACACAAACAGCAGAAGAACCTTCCGGCAAAATAGGCCTGGCGCATGGCACAGGCCTGGGGGGGGGGAATCCCGAGCGCCCAGACATCCTGTCTGCACGTCTGTCCTGCTGTTTGCGCTCGAGTTCCCACACATGCAGCATTCTCAGCCACATGCTGAACGTTGACCATTCTTAAGGTATGCCACTTAAATTTAAATTAATTTGCTACCCACTTCTCAAAATCATTTTTACCAAAGTTTGAAACATTTGCCTTTGGAATGATTTTGTCAAATGTTTTGTCAAATATTTAAAAACAAAGGGGTGTAAAATATAATGTTTTATTGGACTAGTTTTGTTAAATAGAAGGAAAAATGCAGAAACATACAGAGCTCCTCTATGCAAAGGAGGTGTCCGTGCTCCTCCACATACAGAGATCTGATCACAAAGTATGCAAATACTTTCCAGACCACCTCCATCCTCTAAATGACCGAGACGTTCATAGGGCAGAACTGCCATGTCTGTGATAGCAAGTTGGTAACG